CTTTTATACCCAGCTGTGTATTATGTCAAGTATCATAGAAGCACAGCACCCCATAAACTCAACATGGTCTTGTCTTCTTGCTAAAATGAAAATAGTACCTATAAGGCAGAGTCAAGCCTGGATTCTATGGTATACCTGAAAAAGGGGGTGACCTTTTGAGTCTTTAGTCTCTTATCAGATGTCATAGTGCTAGAAGACGACACCCTTCTACCCTTTGGCTAATTGGAGAGCCCCTTGGGATCAGTTTAGTAGAGGCAAAGCGAGTTTGTACATTTTGCAGCTGGTAGCACCACCATCACACATGTAGAGCTCACTGGAGAATTGCTGTGTTTCATCTCTCAGTCTGTATGTCCCTAGTGAAGGATGAGATTTAAGTGTTAACCAAACTGGCTGAACTTCAGTCATATTAATAATAGATGTCCTGGCAACAGTCCACTCCATTGCACATTTTTATAGATTTTTGTACCAATGGCAGCAACAATTTCTTATCTAAATATTCTTACTCCGTTTGGGATAAAGAACTGTGAGACCTTTTCTTTTTCTTTTTAGTTTGCTATTGGGTACATCCATTTGCTGGAGAGAGAAAGAGAAATAGAGAGTGAGAAAGCATCTGCCCCTACCCCCCAGGGCAATGGGCATGCATGCATAGGTACCTGGCTCATTTTTTAAGTCACTGGCTCTGGGACTCCAACCATGCAGTTGGCAGTGTGTGGAATCTAGCCACTTAACACCTTAACCATGTTACTGGGAGGCCCAAGCTCTGAGAATTTCTGCCTCACACATACTGAAAAATATAAATCAAGGTTACAAATGGATCTATGTATACTGGAACCATAATACAAGGCCTCACTGAAACACTTCTTATTCCTTTCAGAGGTATAGACATTATTGATGGTGACCAGTCATTCATTTCACTTCTCAAAATATATAATACTAGATTCTTAAACCATGTATTCAATAGGTATTTTACCTCCCTTACCAGACCCAGGCTACAGACCAGATATATCAATAACTCCATAATGATTTAAGTTCAAATTTAATTAAATCATATTTGGCATATTTAAGTCATCAAACATTAGAAGTGAACTTAATAAATATCTGACTCCATTTTTGAAGTTTGGCTACCAAAAGCTTTTAACTCCTCATCCCATACTCCTGTATCTTCCCTTATTTCCTCACACATGTCCAAGCTTATAAATAAAGTTCAAACTTTCTTCTTTGATGTTGGTGAGAAGTTCAAATAACACGAGCCCTGGCCCATGGAACTCTTACCCTAGTTCCACTCCTTAACTGCAATAAAAGCCAAAGCCAGTCACTTTAATTTGCTCTCTAAAATAATTTTTTGTACTTGCTTGAGAACTTGCTGTACTTTTGCCAGAAGGCCTCATTATGAGAGTATTAAATTTTTTCATAGTTGCTTGTGTGTATGCACATGTGTCATAAATTTGTTTAATGTAGTTGCCGCCTCAACATTTGTCATTAGGCCTGACAAGTTATTTGAAACGCAGCCATCCCCTGTCATCTTTGGCTTTGTTAAATTTCTCTCCCCTGTGTGGTTTGGGTTATGGTCCACTTGTTCCTCATCCCACTGACCCCAAACCTGACACACCCCATGACTGCTAACCATTACAAAACCTAATGATCAACACCAGTTGTGTAAATAAGTTCCTGTTCACACATCTTTTCTTTAAACATATTGTACATTATGATGCCATTATTTCTATATTTATTTTAAACTTTTTTAAGAAGTTATTTCATATGAGAGAATAAATCTGGTCTCTTTTATTTCATATTGACTAGAAGTGATTTCTTTTTTGGATTTCTCACTGTTAGTATATAGAAATGCTACTGTTTTTATATATTGATTTTGTGTCTCACAATTTTACTAAATTTGTTTATTAGTTCTAACAGTGTGTGTGTGTGTCTGTGTGTGTGTGCACACGTGCATGCAATCTTTAAGGCTTACTATCCCTAGAATAATGCCTTCTGCAAGTAAATTTTACTTCATCCTTTCCAATTTGAATGAGTTTTATCATTTTTTTTTTCTAATTGCTCTGTCTAGAACTTTTAGTATTTTGTTGACTAGAAGTCACAAAGCTGTGTAGCCTTTTCTTGTTTCTGATCTTGAAGGAAAATCTTTCAGTTTTTCACCACTGAGTATGCTGACTATCAGCTTTTCATGTATGGTATTTTCAGTTTCTGTGATAAAAAAAAAGTTTATGTGATTTCCTTCTATTCCTAGTTTGTTCAGTGTTTTTAATCGTGAAAGAATGTTAAATTTTATCAAATGCTTTTTCTATACCTACAAAGGTGATCATGTGATTTTTGTCTTTCATTCTGTTTTATGATTCATGCAGTGTATCACATATATTTTGTGTATGTGAACTCGTTCTGGCATCCCAGGAATAAATCCCACTTACTAATGGCGTTTAATGGCAGTTAGAAAAACATGATACTTTTAATGTATTGTTAAATTGAATTTGCTAGTATTTTGCTTATGCACTTTTTTGAAGCGTTCACCTGGCAAAGTTTCTCCTCATTGGTGTTAGTACCAACAAACCTGGAAATGTCTATAAAGCACTCAGCATAGTGTGTGAATCTCTGTGAAAGGCAAGAAAAAACTCCTATCTAAAAGCAGTTTGTTCCGGGCCTTTCTGTGTGTTTCTTGTTCCTTGGTTCCCCAGTTTCTTTCTCTACAAGTGCAGAGGTTCTCCAGCTTGGGAAACTGTCCTTAGGGGCTGGCTCTTTCCACTCTAAAAGTCTAAAGAAGGTCCAAGTCTGCTCCTGGCATTTTTTTCTCTCTCTGTGTGTGTTTTTAAAGAATATATTTGATTATCATTCTGTTATCTTTTCTTTCCCATGATTTTTGTTTGCTTCCTTAGTTTTGATACTTTATTTAAAATTGTTATCATTTCATAATCCCTACCAGTTTTACTTGTCTTTCTTGTCTTCAAAGTGTCTCTCACTTCCTGTTCATTTTCATTTTAATTTCTTAGTTTAAAGTATTCTCTGCCTTATCTTTTCCTCTCTTTAAATTCAACATAATTTTATTCTTTACAATTCTAGAGTTCTCTGTCTTATTTCTACACTTACACACATGATCTCTAAAAAGTCATCCAAAACATTGCCTTTATCTTTTCCCCATTTCACAGTGTGAAACATTGATACTCAAGGAGGGAAGAGGAGGGTGACAGAGATAGCCTGACATGATCGTATTTAAAACATGCACCTTTCGTTGTTGTCATTATTTTCTTTGACACTTGGACTTTGCCTCATTATGTCAATTAGGCCATTTTGGGCTCAAATCTCAGGAAGGGATATTGCAATTGAAACAGAGTGGCAAAAGAATTTTCTTCTAGGCTTTTGTGTTTTAAAAGCTGAAGGATTAGCACTACTAGATGGCATAGTGGTTATGGTGCTGGACTCCCATGTGGTTGACCATGGTTCAAGTCCCAGACCTGGTGCTTGAACACATGCTGGGCGTGTGTACATGCATGCCCAATATCCCAAGAGGAGAATGGAGGACAAAGGAAGGCGGTATGGTCATAATCCTTGGGGGTAATGTCTTGCTTTCTGTCTCTGTTTCTCTCTGTCTCTCCAGCAAGCACACATGCTCTATAGCAAAATAAAATCTCTCTCTCTCTCAAAAAAAAAAAAAGGAAAGAAAAAAGGAGAGATGAAGGATTAAGGAGAACGGAGATTTTAAAAAGTATGAAAAAAAAGCAGGGTAAGAAAATCAAAGTTTTCCTCCCTTTTTTTCCCTAATCTCTCAACCCAACCCCAAATGAAGAAATGATTATGCTAGTTTGGTGAAGAACAAAGATTTGAAAGAAGTAATGAGGTTGTAAATGGAAATGAGTTCTCTGATAGGGTCCCATGCCTTCTCCCTGGAGGTGGAGATGAGAAGGTTTTACGAAGGATTCATGCATTGGTAGGCAGCATGCCTTGCCACTTCATGGGTAGAGGCAAAGGAGAGGCAAAGACTATTTCCTCTATTTCTGATAGAAGAGGGATAGAAAATAGCTAACCATGGGGCTGGTGCTCTAGCCTAGTGGTTAGGGGAGCCAGATCTCATATGGCTGACTATAGTTCAAGTCTCAGACTGGCAGCTAGAAAATCATGTTGAGCATAGGCACATGCATGCCCAAAACACCAATAGGATGAAGAAAAGGAGGAGAAGGGATTGCAATGTGACCCTGCCCCAATGGGGTGGTCCTTTCTCCTTCTCCCTCTGTCTCTCTCTCTGTGTCTCTCTCTGTCAAGTATATGTGCTCTTGGACAATTTTTTTTTAGAGATATTTTTGCTAGAGGGCATGTGTGCTCACAGGAGAAACAGAGAGACAGAAAGTGAGAAATAACCCTCCAGAGGGGGGATGGCCACACTGAATTCCTTCTCCTCCATTCTCCTCTCAGGATTTTGGGTTTGCATGCACGTGTGCCCAGCATGAGTTTTAAGCCACTGGGTCCGGGACTCAAACCACAGTCGACTACATGGGAGTCCAGCAACATAACCATTATGCCATCTGCTGGTCATGACAGTTTTTCAAAAATGGCTTACTGTGTCCTGAGACAGCCTTCCAAAAATTTCTGACACTCCAGCATGTTGGAGAAGCAGCAAAGTCGCCATCATCAACTCTGAAATGGCATGACAGATGCAGAGAAATCTGTTCCATCTGAAGCACCTTGAGGATGAGAACAAGGGCTAATTCAGTGGCAACTTCCATGCACTGATGACATAACTCAGTTGAGTTGATGGCCGTATCAGTGTTCATCAATTAAATCCTGTCATTCCTCTTTTTAAAGTCACAGAATGTTATAAAATATCAGTTCTCAGAACTTATTATAATTACTTCAAGATGCATGCATTTTATTTAGCACAACCACTCTGCATTTCCATCTTTAATGCTTCCTTTTCCATGGCACTGGGATAATCCAAGAAGAGAAACAGGAAAAGAAGGATGTCCCCAAAGACACTCTTATATTGTGTATCATCTGAGATTTCAGAACAGCAGAACACAGCGGATGCTGAAACAGAGAAGAGCAGTAATGAAATGACTAAATTACCTGGAAAAGAATGATTTCAGTAAACAGTTAAATGTTGTTTCACAAGAAACTGCATTGCATATCTGTCTTCACCCATGACTTCACCTTAACCCTAACCCGCCTCTGTGAACTATCACCATCTGACCAGGGTCTGGGTTGGGATCCAACATCTTCCATGAAAGGAAGGCCCACTGTGAGCACGGTTTCCTCTGGAGGCACGACCCCAAAGACATCTACATCCTTAGTTGCAGGTTCTGATCAGCTTCCTGCAGTCCCAGAATCTTGTCCCATGTCTACATGGGGAAGAAAAAAAATGACTACCTTGAGTTCCTTTCATTTTGCAGTGTGTCTGCTATCTGCTGAATTCCCCCACTTCACCCTTGATCATCTGTTTCTAAAATTTCAGATGAGTTTTCCTGGCTCTTCACTCCTGATATTTTTATGTTTATTTGTTTTTTTTCTTCTGAGACGAAGAAAGAGAGAAGACAAGCAGGGTCTTCATGCTGTAATCCATCCAAGTCTCAGCCACAGAGGATCACAGGCATGTGTGTGCATGCCTGGCGTGTACAGGAAGACCTTGGGGCATGAACCAAGGACTTCCCTGTGTAGCCTCAGCATTTAGAGCATCGTGCCACCACTATACCATTGAGCTAGCCTATTTCTGACTTAAATGGGTCGACGTGTTAGGTCAAAACCAACAAAGAATAGCAGGTTAAATTTAAAGAGCTAGATTACAAAATTAAAGCTCTAGATTTTTTAAAAAGAATTATTTATTAAATTAAATTATTATTTTTAAAATTTGCTGAAGAGTGCTCATGCTCACTGCAGAGAGATAGAGAGAGAGAGAGGGAGGGAAAGTGAGAAAGCAAGCTGCCCAGTCCAGGACTCAAACTGTAGTTGGGCCATGTAGGAGTTCAGCACCCAAACCACCATGCCATCTGCTGGCCACTCTAGATTTAAAAATCATGAAACAAAGCAAAGCATGAAGGTAGAGTCGGGGGAAGAGTAAGAAAAAGAGACTTGCTTGGAAACAGAATGAAGACACCAAAGCATTCATTGTAGTTGTGATTACTTGTTTACTGCACGTTGTTTTTTCTTTACTGCATCTCCGGCATTTACAACAGTCCTGGCAAGGAGTCTGTGACCAATGAATGTGTGTTGAATGAATATATAAATACAATAGCATTCATTAAGTGATCACTCCACGCCTGTACAAGCAGACTAGCCATATGCTAGAACCTGTGTAAAAAGTGTATTTGTGCCCTGTGTGGGAGTCTAAATCTCTTTAAGATTCTTTGCAAGATTTTTTTTTTGACTCCAGAAATACCATCTTACTAGTTTTAGATAAATTTGTTTTACCAGAAAAAGATATATAACTAACCAATGTGGGTTAGCGGGGTTCTTAGTATAACACTGAATTCCTGAACATCTCTCTGAAATAGATTCATATGGGTTTTCTCCAAAGAAAGGCCTTTTGGTAAAAGCTTTCCTTGTCCTCATGACAGCAAGAAATAGGGTGAAGGGCATGAAAGATATTGAAAATCCAGGTAGCAAGCTCTCACAGAACACTTGGAATTGTGTGAGAAGTCATTTTCTCTGTGAGTTATCAGCATACAGAAGAGCATCGAGTAGAATACTCACGTTTTTCCAGCATGGTACAACTCAAGGGCTTTGTGGAGTTGGGCAAAAGGCAGTTGATGGGTTATTAATGGATCTATATTAATCTTATTTTGCAGGTAATCAGTCACTAGTTGAGGGATACAATCTCTGGTTTTATAATCTGCAAAACAAAAAGGCCATAGTAATAAGATTTGAGAAATACCAAAACAAAGCAACTAAAAGAAAAAAAAAATTCAAGTAAGGAGCATGTTTTACTTAGTATACCTAGTATAAGTAGGAAAGTTATTTCTCAGAAAATTTGTCTCAGACATGAAAGATAATTTGTTTATACCTCACAAACTGCTGACTGTGGTTGCTGAGTGGTGGTTATAGACAGTTCTGTTACCTAGATCTCCTTTGAAGAAAATTGGGCCAGCATTGATGCTACAGAATTGAAGAATGACCCTTTTAAACTAGCAGTCTCTAATCTACCTCCTGGGTTTATCACTGCACAACTGTTTCCTCCCCTCTCTAGTCATACGTGTGGAAGTAGGAGGGAACCTGTAACCAGATGAATGGGTGGAGATGGAAGTGTTAATTGGCTTAAGATGTTAGTCAACATTGCAGAAGGGCTGCTATGGGAAGACAACAAGCAGTGCCACAACACCAAGTTAGTGCATGTAGTTATCCAAAACGCATTGCTGTTATGATAGTACATCAAGAGGCTAGCAGGTGGCATGATGTTTAAGGCACTGAACTCCCACACGGCCAACTGCAGTTCAAAATCCCAAATCTGGCGGCTTGCTTCTCACTTTCCCTCTCTCTCTTCCTCTCTTTTTGCCTCTCTCTGGTGAGCACATGAGCCCTATAGCAAACTAATAATAATAATAATAATAATAATAATTAATAAATACTTTTTTTTGTTATAGGTTGTGCCTCAGACAGAGAGAGACAGGGAGACAAACAGAAAACGAGAAAATACCCTCTGGGGGGATGGCCATGCCCCAATTCCTTTTTCTCCTTTCTCCTCTCAGGGTATTGGGCACTAATGCACAAGCCTGGTGTGAGTTTCAAGCCACTGGATCTGGGACTCAAACCATGGTCAGCCATCTGGGAGTCCAGAGCCATAGCCATGTGGCACCTGCTGACCCCAAATAAATAATTTCTAATAGTACATTGAACTTCGAACTTACCACTGCGGAATCAGAATTAACTGAATTATTTCTGTCTTTAAAGAAACACGAACTCTTGCAGGAGATACAATTTTATTTGAACTTAAAAAAAACCCAAAAACCTATTTAATGAAGTTAATTAAAATCTATTTGTAAAATAAACCAGTTCATTAGAGGAGTCATCTTTGGAAAATTTTACCACTATATCTCTATTTTCTCAATAAAAAGGAGTTTGAGGGACCAGCAGTTAGTGTAACGGCTATGTCTCATAACTCCCATGTAGTCGACCGTGGTTCGAGTCCTGGACCCAGTGGCTTAAACTCACGCCAGGTGTGTGTGCGTGTGTGCCCGAGATCCCAAGAGGAGAATGGAGGAGAAGGGATTGTAGCATGGCCATCTCCCCTGGAAGGGGGTGATTTCTCACTTTCTGTCTCTCTGCCTCTCTCTGTCTTTCTAGCGAGCTCACATGCCCTATAGTAAAACACACACACACACACACACACACACACACACACACACACACACAAGAAAAAACCGTTCCAAAAAAAAGGAGTTTGATGTCCATGTTTCTGCAAGTTGAAAGGCATCCCAAGAGTAACCAAATGGTCATTTCTATTTGGTTACCTACCTCCTAAACAAACGCCCTTCATTGTCTTTCCCGAGACGATCATTGTTGGCTTGAGGCAAAGCTGTGAATTTGCTGGAGCCAACCCAATGATCAGACAGGCACCATGGCTTGGTTGGCAGGAGTCCCAAGCAGCAATCTAAGAACAGTAATGATCATAAGCACATTCCCACACAGAAGTAACAGCTACCATCTGGGGTAGAAGGAATCCTGAAGGCCCTCGGTTTTGAACCTCCCCTTGGGCAGACACTGCTTCAATTTCAGCTTCAACACAATAAGTGATAGAAATCTCATTAGAGAGCCAGGAGAGTTCAGTGGTGAAAAGCACAGACTCTGCTTCCTGTGTGCCCCTAGGCACACCCCTTTCCTATGTCTCAGTTTCCTCGTTTATAAAAAGAGCAATACTGTCATCTACTTCGTAAAGTTGTTATGAGGATGAAATGACTGATCATTCTTAAAACACTTAGAACACTATCTGGCATATATAAGCAGTATATTAAATAAGATTATCCTCTGCTTCACAGGCCCTGCACACTCTGTTCTTTGTCTGACTTGGCAACTTGCTTTAAAGTTGTTATGAGGATGAAATGACTGATCATTCTTAAAACACTTAGAACACTATCTGGCATATATAAGCAGTATATTAAATAAGGTTATCCTCTGCTTCACAGGCTCTGCACACTCTGTTCTTTGTCTGACTTGGCAGCTTGCTTTCTCACTTCTCTCTCTGTCTCTGGTCAAATTAAAATAAATGAATGAATAAATAAAATTAAATAAATAATTCTGAAAATAACTTTAAAAAAAATTCTGTTTTAGACTCCTGAAACACTCAGACAAGAAGCCATTTTAAGTTTGAGGTGTGTCTTGCCATGTTTAAGGACCAAAGCGACTGAAGTTACGCTTTAAATCTCTTATTTTAGACTCCCAAAACAGTCAGACAAGGTAGGGTGACCTCTGTCCTCTCTCTGTCTCTGTCTGTCTGTCTCTCTCTTTAAATTTTTCATTTTGATTTTTAAAATTTTTAAACCACTTCTTACCTCAGGCCTTTTCTTTCTGTTAGAAATTTTAGAAGCCATTTTAAACCCGTTGTGTGCCCTGGCGTGTTTGCACCACATGGTTTTCATTTTTTACCTTTTAAAAATATTTTTTTCCTTTTTTTGGGGTTGTTTTGTTTATTTTTAAAAATTTTTTCCCTTTCCTTTTGCTTTTATTTTATTATTTTTTTAACTTTACTTTCCTACTCTGTTCTTTAGTCTCCACACAGTGAGTGTCTAGACAGGCCTAGGTGCACAGTAGCCAAGCATTTGAATACTTTTAGGGTCATTGAAATCCTCAATGCTTATTGAACTTCCTGCTTTATGGCAGAAACTTCTTGGGACCAACAGTTAGCGTAATGGCTATGTCGCTGAATTCCCATGTAGTCGACCACAGTTTGGGTCCCGGACCTGGTGGCTTAAATTCACACCAGGTGCATGTGCGTGCATGCCCAAGATCCTGAGAGGAGAATGGAGAAGAAGGGATTGAGGCATGGCCATCCCCCCAGGAGGATGATTTCTTGCTTTCTGTCTCTCTGTCTCTTTCTGGCAAGCGCACGTGCCCTATAACAAAAACCTCTTAAAAAAAAAAAAGGAAGAAACTTTTTTTATATATCTGAACTTATTATTTCTTTCTGTGGATACCACATTGCAAAATACAGTAGAGATTTTGTTGTAGAATGACCAGGAACCACTGCAAAGGCACAAGAAATATGAGAAACCAAAGAAATATCTCTCTCATAAGAGAAAAGAACAATCCTTCACCATCCACAGACAGTACAGTGGAACTTGTGGAAATATCCAATAGAGAATTCAAAATATTCATAGTGACAAAACTACACAAAAAGTGTTGAGAGACAATGAACTCCAGAAGATGCAAGAGAAAAGAGACAATGAATTCCAAGAGGTGAGGAAGTTCTTGCACATTCTGAAAGAGGAGCTACACACTATAAGAAAGAATCACACGGAGCTGTTACAGATGAAGGCTGTGATATAGGAAATCAAACCCTCCCTCAAAAGTATTAAAAGAAAATTAGTCCATGTAGAGGATCGAATCTTAAATGTTGAAGGCAAAACCTCTGACCTAGAAAAAAAAAAAACTGAGAAAATAACCCCCCAAAATAAAAAATTCTAATGAGAAATACTAGATTCCATTAAGTGTCCAAACATTTGGATAATCTGTATCCCAGAAGGTGAAGAAACTATTAAGGGCATTGATATCTTGTTCTATGAAATCCTGGAAGAAAACTTTCCAAATCTAGAGAGGCATTCAAGTATCCAGATCCAAGAAATACAAAGGACCCCTAATAGAATCAACCCAAAAAGATCTTCTCAAAGGCACATCATAGCCAGATTGGCCAAATCCACAGACAAAGACAAGATACTAAAATTGGCAAGAGAGAACGTTAGGTTACTTATAATGGTTATCCCATTAGGCTAACAGCAGACCTCTTATCAGAAACAATGTGAGCAAGGAAAGAATGGGACAATATATTCAAAGTGTTAAGTGAAAAACAGTTTCAACCAAGAATACTATACCCAGCACGATTATCCTTCATATGGGAAGAAAAGATAAAAACATTCTTAGATAAACAAAACCTGAAAGGATTTACCAACACCAGACCAGCTCTTCAAGAATTCTAAAAGGAGTGCTTTACCAAGAAAACTAAAGACATGTACTGAAATAAGAGAACAAAAATCAACCAAAAAAAAAAAAAATGACCAACTTAATACTAGGGACAAGAAATATCAATAACAATGTTGAACGTTAACTTCCTGGATTTAAATGGAAAGATTGGACCACAGTAACACTACAAATTGAACAGAAGACAGATTAATTACATATGACTGAACTGGTGAAATAGAAATGTATGACTTTTGAGTAAAACATTACTGTCTTTTTCTTTTCTATGCCTTGTTTTCCCAATTTAGGGATTTTGCTTTCTTTTGAGCTGTTGATAGGTGTAGCAGTTTGTTAAACTATTTTTTTCTTCTTCTTTGTTTGTTTCTTTAAATGGAAATATAAACTTTTCTTCCTTCTTGATCCCTCTGGAATTGTAAAATATTTGAGAGTTTTCTTATTTTGTGGCGGAATGGTCATTTGCATAAGTTCAATAATACCTGTTGCCTTGAATCAGAAATTGGAAATAATTCGTTATTGGACAGAGTTTTGACTGGAATGTCATATCTGAAGATTAAACCAGAAAACTATGGAACTATGGTAAATCTCAAGTAAGCCAATGGAAGCTCTTGGAAAGATGGCCTGGCACCATGAACAGTTCTGTGTGGCAGAGAGGATTGGAGAATCTATATGAAAGGATTCGTACCATAAAATAACCTGGACTTTTCCAGTCCAGCATTGTCATGAGTAGAAATTGAAAAAGAGCAGCCACAACCAGAAGTTTATCTTGAGGAAGACTTTGAAGGATGAAAAAGAGATTGATCTTTGCTAGCAGATGGTGTATCACAGAATATTTTGAAGGCAGGGCTGAATTGAGAAGGTTCATGTGTGAATTGTGTACTGGTTATTTGCTTTTCAGCAGTCTGAGTAGTTGAGATGTAAATATTTTCTAAAAAGTATTTAAAACTCTACTGTCTCTGTTATAGAGTCACAAACAAAATTATAACAAATATTTTGATAATTATCTTTAAATTCAGTTTCTTGAAATTTTGAAAGTTGTTTATTAACTGTCAAGAATTATGGAGTATGAGCAAAAATTTTTTGATATGTAAAGTAAATTGTTGTGGGAAAATGTAAAAATAAATAAGTGTTTAAAAAGAAGAAAAAAATTGTAACCCATAAAAAAGTTCAGTTTCTAAGATGTACAGTACACTTCTTCATATCTATTTTACTTCCTGTTTTTATTTCTTAATGCTTTTTTCTTTCCCCATTCCTCCATCTTGCCTTATTTGCTTTACTATCACCTGTATCACTACCTCCAGTTCCCTTATTCTTTGACCAAGTACCTCAGGTAACAAGTCAGCATATTGAATGTCTCTGTTCTCTCTCTGAATAGTAAGATCTAAGAAGATGATGCTCCTTCTTTTCACCATTATATCCTTAGTGCTTAAGAAACTGATGCCTGACAGATATTTTTCAAGTGAATGGATGGTTCTGTTATAAGACGCACATAAGTGGGCCATACAGGTGGCATGGTGGTTAAGGCGGCTGGATCCCACATGACGGACTCTGAGGTTAGAATCCCAGACCTAGCAGGTTGAAAAACATACCAAGCGTATGTGTATGTGTGCCCAAAGCCATCCTTTCTGAAGGGCAATTTCTCACTGTCTGTCTCTCTATGGTGAGTGCATGTACCCTATACCAAAACTAGGGGGAAAAAAAGACACATAAATGTAATACATGAATCAAATATTGTTCATATGTAAGTTTAAAATGCATGCATATGAAGAAAGAGCTAGAAATAGAGAAGGAAAAACTGATACTTTGGCCCTTTGCATGTTTAAACTTTGTTTACTCTAATGACATATCTCTAAGTATATGTTGCTTTTGTTTACAAAATGAATGTTTTAGATTGAATTTACATTATGTTTTTAGATTCAAGTTCTACAGGTGCAAACTATATTTCCAGAAAAGTTACATATACATATATATATTTAAATACATATATGTATTTAAATATATATTTATTGTAATTTTGGGGCTACTGGGTCCAGGACTTGAACTGCTGTCAGCCATGTGGGAATCCAGCACCTCAATCACCACACCACCTGCTGGCCCCGACGACAGTTTATATTTATGTATATAAAGCTGTGTAACTTGTACCCTCATATTGACAGACAGCCCTCCCCCACAGCGCCCCAGACCACACACCATGGTATCAGTGAGTCCAATGGCTTCAAAGGCAAAGTCAACACCACCGCCTGTCATATCCACCACCACCTGCTGGACGGGCTTCTTGAGATTCCGAGGGTTGAGACAATCGGTGACACCTAAAGCTTTTGCTCGGGGAAACTTCTCCTCATTGATGTCAACCCCAATGATCCTAGAAGCACCAGAGGCTTTGCAGCCCATGACAACGGCTGAACCAACTCCTCCAAGTCCAAAAACCACACAGGTAGATCCACAGGCGACCTACAAATGCATAAGGCATTCTCACATTAGGAAATAAAGCCGTGTGTGTGAGTGTGGGTGTAATTAAGAAAACCCACCAGCAAACAAAACCAACCACTGAGCCTTTTGGAACTATATATACCAGTTGAATCGTTTGGACGAATTTAACCTAGTTTGGATATTTTTCCAGGAAAATCGCTATGACACACACACACGAGCACTTTCCTCACCTTGGCTGAATGAACAGCGGCCCCATAGCCTGTAGGCACCCCACAGCTTAGGACACAGCTTTTATCCATAGGAGCTGCATCATCGATTTTTGCCACTGCAATCTCAGGTACGACAGTATATTCAGTGAATGTGCTCGTGAGAGTGATAAATCTTTTGTCCTTTGCAGGTAAATCTGCTGGTCCCGTCCAGCATTAATCCAGAAGATGGTAGAACACTGTTCCACAGGGACATAGACACGCACACAGGTATCAGCACAGACACGTGGAGTGGCAAAGAGAGAAGCGAACACTTTAGTACAGGCCAGCATTATACAACGTAAGCAATTTCATAAAAGAGTAAGGGGCAAATCTACTAACTCTTGCTTCTCACAGAAGTTTCCCTTGGGGTACAAGCAGGAACTGCATTCTTTACACTGTGGAATAATGAGTGTAAGGACTTTATCGCCTATGTAGAGAAAGAAGATACAGTCAATAGTTTGAAAACAGTACTGGAATACATACACAATAGTATATTTATGGGAATCTCATTGAATTTCTTGAAAATTTGGACAGATTATGGCAGCCAGTATAATACTTACAGATATTGATAAGGAAAAACCCTGTTACCTGGTTTTAGAAATCCCATGATACTTTGGAGCAAATAGTGGGAATTTGGGGGATATTCCCTGGTGGATAGATAGTTGTAAAATTGGAAAATTACTCCACAATATTGGGCCTAAAAGTGTGTGTTTCTTAATGAAGGTGCTATTGATATTCAGTCCCCAAACCCTTATTGTGTGACATAGGATATATAGACTAGATTTTAAATAACTAAGATCATTACAAGATCTGAACATGAGCCATGTGACTTTGGACAAGTCATTCTAAGTCTGAATCTCTAAGTTGGGGATGATAAGACTTGCTCTGTATTCCTGCAAGTGTTGTTACAAATCAGGTAAACCATGTAAAAACATGTTTTTCTTTTTAAATATTCAGTCTCAGGTAAGAGAAACAGAAAACCAATTGGTCCTTGATCACTTAATCCCTATGCAGATGGTATCCTGCTTCTCCTTACTCTAGAAATAGAATAGATGAGGATTTAGTCCCATAGAAGTTGTCACCTGCCTCAAATGACCCTAGAATAAGAAACACATAAATGGGCCATGCAGGTGGTGTGGTGGTTAAGGCTTAAGTCATCGTGGGCTGATGTAGACTCACAGGTGTACAGCATTGCCCCCGCAGTGGTGTTGGCCTTGCCTTTGGAGCTGCTGAACTCACTGATATCACAGTGGTGGGGGCATCTGGGGTGGTGTGGGGGAGGGCTGTCTGTCAACATGGGGGTACAAGTTACACAGCTTTGTTATTACAGCTTAGTTTTATTACAGCATTATTCTAGATGATGGAAGAGCCTTTTTCCACTGAGTCCGCTGCCCAATGGTGGCACGCTGACACACCACAGACCTCTAACATGTTTTCTTTAGTGAGGCTGAGCTCTAAGATGTACTAACTCCAGAAAATAAAAGGAATTGCTCTCCTGCTGCAGAGAGAGGCTTTTGTGGAACACTACAAAGGATGGTTTTTAGGTTACAGAGCTATTGAGGGATATGGATTATGTTTGGATTCCATCATTAGTCAGCCCTCTGGGCATTATGGTGACAGGCTAGGTGCGATCTAGGAAGAAAGTAAATTAATACAGTCATTGCAGGCTAATGTAGACTCAGGCTAATGCAGGTGGCATGGTGGTTAAGGGCATTGGACTCCCACATGGTTGACTGCGATTCAAGTCCCACACTTGGCAGCTTGCTTTCTCACTTTCTCTCTCTCTCTCTCTCACTCATTCTATCGTTCTCTGGCCAAATTTAAATTAGTAATAAATAAATAAAGTTAAATAATAAAAATAATTCTAAAAACATACTTCTGAATCTGAAATCCTTTGGAATATTTTAGGGCCAATAAAGAGGAAGGGATTTCTTGCTTTCTGTCTCTCTGTCTCTCTAGCAAGCACACTCACTATTAGCAAAAATCTCTCTCTTAAAAAAAAAAGGGGGGGGGAACCAACAGATGGTGTAATGACTACGTCGCTGGACTCCCACATAGTCAACCATGGTTTGAGTCCTGGACCTAGTGGCTTAAACTCATGCCGGGCACATGTGTGTGAGTGCCCAAGCTCCCGAGAGGAGAATGGAGGAGAAGGGATTTCTGCGTGGCCATCCCCCCCCGGGGGAGTGTGTATGATTTTTTGCTTTCTGTCTCTCTGTCTCTTTTCTGTCTTTCTGGTGAGCGCATGTCCCCATAGAAAAAACCCCCACAAAAAAAAAAAAAAAAAAAAAAGAAAGGTTTTCCTTTCTCTTCCATTCTGCTCTCGGGATCTTGGGCATGCACGCACACAAACCTGGTGTGAGTTATAAGCTACTGGGTCCAGGACTTGAACCATGGTCGACTCTGTGGCAGTCCAGTGATATAACCATCCCACCATCTGCTGAAATTTCTTTGCATACCTGGTTCCAAACTCTGGGTTTCCCCTATTAGCTTAATCTGTGTGGTGGTTTTTATTCACCGTGATTATTTTGGGCATACTATGAATAACAATATCAAAATCCTTTCTGTTTTGCCTGAGGAAGAGCATATAATTACTTTATATTGGTTCTCTGAAATTTCATTGTCATCCTGTTACATTTAAGCTATACATTCTAGTTGATTAGAGCTTTCATTCATTTGTCAAACATTTAATACATCTCAACTCTGAATAGGCACTGCAACAAGCGTTCTGAGGGACACGATATATCTGTAAGAAGTGATCTCCACCTTTAAGAGCTCTGAGCCTATTAAGAAGTATACTGGTTCAGGACCAGCAATTGGCATAATGGCTATGTCACTGGACTCCCATATAGCCGACCGTGGTTCGAGTCCTGAACCCGGTGGCTTAGACTCACGCCAGGCTCGTGTGTGTGCTTGCCCAAGATTCTGAGAAAAGAATGGAGGAGAAGGGATTGCGGCACTCTGTCTTCCTGGCGAGTGCACGCACTCTATAGCATAAACCTCTCCAAAAAAAAAGTATACTGGTTCTATAACCACTTCATTTAGCTGTGAATGCGTAGAACTGACTCAGTCATTGTACTGCTTGATCGGCAGAGATGACGGTAGACAGAGATGATAGTGATGCCACTCCTGGAGTCACCGGATACATTTGATGTAAAAAACATGTCATTAGTTTGAAGACCCAAGAGGGAAGCTCATAACGTGTGATTAGACTAATCTAGAATATACCAATTTCTTTTCCGGTAGTTATGTTTATGTATTTTAGGCTATTTCTCTGTAGGCGTAGCTCTTGGGCCTCTCACCGAGGGAAGGTTTTTGCCGCCCCATTTCCTACCTGGTTTCACAGATCTCACTCCATTACCAATACTCTCCACAATGCCAGCTCCTTCGTGGCCTGGGATTAAAGGGAAGTTCACTGGGAGGTCTCCTTTCAAGACGTGATCATCAGACCCGCAGATCCCTGTAGATATCATCTGCATAGGGATTAAGTGATCAAGGACCAATTGGTTTTCTGTTTCTCTTACCTGAGACTGAATATTTAAAAAGAAAAACATGTTTTTACATGGTTTACCTGATTTGTAACAACACTTGCAGGAATACAGAGCAAGTCTTATCATCCCCAACTTAGAGATTCAGACTTAGAATGACTTGTCCAAAGTCACATGGCTCATGTTCAGATCTTGTAATGATCTTAGTTATTTAAAATCTAGTCTATATATCCTATGTCACACAATAAGGGTTTGGGGACTGAATATCAATAGCACCTTCATTAAGAAACACACACTTTTAGGCCCAATATTGTGGAGTAATTTTTCAATGCTCTGGGAAAATCTATGTTCAGTATTTTAAACTTGTACGTTGAAAACATCTTCTAAATTAGGATATAAAATGTGGTTAAGTCAAGTAAATTAACTATTACAAAATTCAATTTGTTGAGAAGATTGAAACTTCTTAGCTAAGGGCTTAAGTATTTTTGTCTGTGGGTAAGTTCTACCCAGTTACACTGCCCATAAAAATGAAACATTTCTTTTACCATAGCCTATGTATTATTGCTTTATCTGCAATATTGCCAGAAAAGCATGTTGATTAGTTTTATAGTATCTGTTGCAGAGAAAAACAGCATTTTATAGTTGGAACACTGGAAATAGCTATGGTGTGATCATAGTGAATGAGTGAGAAGATATGCTTAAGAGAAATACGCTGTGGTTTTGGCCACCAAAGTGTTAAAATGTCTTCAAGATGCTATCAAAGGCTGAAGTGTGGGACTGACTGGTGGTATGGTGATTGAAGTGCTGGACTCCCACATGACTAGCCATGGTTCGAGTCTTGGACCTGGCGGCTTGCATTTTCATTTTCCTTCTCTCTCTCTGGTCAAATTAAGAAAAAAAAAAGTGATGAATAAAGTTAAATGGAATAATTCTTAAAAAAAAAACTTAAAATGAAAAAGGCTGAAGTGTTATTTAGCTATGTAGCAGTGTGGAATCTCCTTATTAGTTTTGTTCTACATAGCAAATGAGAACATGCGATTATCTGTGGAAAGCTCTGTGTAGATAAGCTGCTGGTGGGGTCCTTATTTCAAGGGTTAGGTGCAACCCTTAACCTTGCTTTTGTCTGGGGTTCAGGTGATGTTGCTGCGTCCTTGCTGCTGCAACCTCTTCTTTGGTTGCTATTCTGAATTTATTATTTAGGGTATAAACTTCGCCATCAAGGAGCATAACAGTGTAAGAGCAGAGAACAGGGGCTGATTAAGCAGTGAACATCTCAGCAGTGGTGACCTAGCACACAAGAAGCACTAGATAAATACTGTTTAGGTGAATAATACTTGGAAGAATATGGCTTCTGAAGAGTAGTCAGTTAAAACAGAGTGTCGGACTCCTTCCTTTGTGTGCATTCTTACCACTTTTAATTTTGTTCTTTGTTTTCTCTCATTGGTAAAGGCCTTAGCAAAGCACCGGATATGGTGTTGATAACTTATTTTGTGTTATTTCCCAAATTTTTCTGTTTTGTCTCTTATCTGCCATCTTCCTTTTTCTTCTTCTCTTTTCCTCCATATTTTTTTCCTTCTAGCATCTTCCCAGTCCCCTTCATTGCTTTTCTCTGTTACTCTTGCAACCATCCCCTTCTCTTACTTTGACTGGATATGATACAGACTGCATGCAGATCAAAAAAAAAAAAAAAAAAAAAGAAAGGTTTTCCTTTCTCTTCCATTCTGCTCTCGGGATCTTGGGCATGCACGCACACAAACCTGGTGTGAGTTATAAGCTACTGGGTCCAGGACTTGAACCATGGTCGACTCTGTGGCAGTCCAGTGATATAACCATCCCACCATCTGCTGAAATTTCTTTGCATACCTGGTTCCAAACTCTGGGTTTCCCCTATTAGCTTAATCTGTGTGGTGGTTTTTATTCACCGTGATTATTTTGGGCATACTATGAATAACAATATCAAAATCCTTTCTGTTTTGCCTGAGGAAGAGCATATAATTACTTTATATTGGTTCTCTGAAATTTCATTGTCATCCTGTTACATTTAAGCTATACATTCTAGTTGATTAGAGCTTTCATTCATTTGTCAAACATTTAATACATCTCAACTCTGAATAGGCACTGCAACAAGCGTTCTGAGGGACACGATATATCTGTAAGAAGTGATCTCCACCTTTAAGAGCTCTGAGCCTATTAAGAAGTATACTGGTTCAGGACCAGCAATTGGCATAATGGCTATGTCACTGGACTCCCATATAGCCGACCGTGGTTCGAGTCCTGAACCCGGTGGCTTAGACTCACGCCAGGCTCGTGTGTGTGCTTGCCCAAGATTCTGAGAAAAGAATGGAGGAGAAGGGATTGCGGCACTCTGTCTTCCTGGCGAGTGCACGCACTCTATAGCATAAACCTCTCCAAAAAAAAAGTATACTGGTTCTATAACCACTTCATTTAGCTGTGAATGCGTAGAACTGACTCAGTCATTGTACTGCTTGATCGGCAGAGATGACGGTAGACAGAGATGATAGTGATGCCACTCCTGGAGTCACCGGATACATTTGATGTAAAAAACATGTCATTAGTTTGAAGACCCAAGAGGGAAGCTCATAACGTGTGATTAGACTAATCTAGAATATACCAATTTCTTTTCCGGTAGTTATGTTTATGTATTTTAGGCTATTTCTCTGTAGGCGTAGCTCTTGGGCCTCTCACCGAGGGAAGGTTTTTGCCGCCCCATTTCCTACCTGGTTTCACAGATCTCACTCCATTACCAATACTCTCCACAATGCCAGCTCCTTCGTGGCCTGGGATTAAAGGGAAGTTCACTGGGAGGTCTCCTTTCAAGACGTGATCATCAGACCCGCAGATCCCTGTAGATATCATCTGCATAGGGATTAAGTGATCAAGGACCAATTGGTTTTCTGTTTCTCTTACCTGAGACTGAATATTTAAAAAGAAAAACATGTTTTTACATGGTTTACCTGATTTGTAACAACACTTGCAGGAATACAGAGCAAGTCTTATCATCCCCAACTTAGAGATTCAGACTTAGAATGACTTGTCCAAAGTCACATGGCTCATGTTCAGATCTTGTAATGATCTTAGTTATTTAAAATCTAGTCTATATATCCTATGTCACACAATAAGGGTTTGGGGACTGAATATCAATAGCACCTTCATTAAGAAACACACACTTTTAGGCCCAATATTGTGGAGTAATTTTTCAATGCTCTGGGAAAATCTATGTTCAGTATTTTAAACTTGTACGTTGAAAACATCTTCTAAATTAGGATATAAAATGTGGTTAAGTCAAGTAAATTAACTATTACAAAATTCAATTTGTTGAGAAGATTGAAACTTCTTAGCTAAGGGCTTAAGTATTTTTGTCTGTGGGTAAGTTCTACCCAGTTACACTGCCCATAAAAATGAAACATTTCTTTTACCATAGCCTATGTATTATTGCTTTATCTGCAATATTGCCAGAAAAGCATGTTGATTAGTTTTATAGTATCTGTTGCAGAGAAAAACAGCATTTTATAGTTGGAACACTGGAAATAGCTATGGTGTGATCATAGTGAATGAGTGAGAAGATATGCTTAAGAGAAATACGCTGTGGTTTTGGCCACCAAAGTGTTAAAATGTCTTCAAGATGCTATCAAAGGCTGAAGTGTGGGACTGACTGGTGGTATGGTGATTGAAGTGCTGGACTCCCACATGACTAGCCATGGTTCGAGTCTTGGACCTGGCGGCTTGCATTTTCATTTTCCTTCTCTCTCTCTGGTCAAATTAAGAAAAAAAAAAGTGATGAATAAAGTTAAATGGAATAATTCTTAAAAAAAAAACTTAAAATGAAAAAGGCTGAAGTGTTATTTAGCTATGTAGCAGTGTGGAATCTCCTTATTAGTTTTGTTCTACATAGCAAATGAGAACATGCGATTATCTGTGGAAAGCTCTGTGTAGATAAGCTGCTGGTGGGGTCCTTATTTCAAGGGTTAGGTGCAACCCTTAACCTTGCTTTTGTCTGGGGTTCAGGTGATGTTGCTGCGTCCTTGCTGCTGCAACCTCTTCTTTGGTTGCTATTCTGAATTTATTATTTAGGGTATAAACTTCGCCATCAAGGAGCATAACAGTGTAAGAGCAGAGAACAGGGGCTGATTAAGCAGTGAACATCTCAGCAGTGGTGACCTAGCACACAAGAAGCACTAGATAAATACTGTTTAGGTGAATAATACTTGGAAGAATATGGCTTCTGAAGAGTAGTCAGTTAAAACAGAGTGTCGGACTCCTTCCTTTGTGTGCATTCTTACCACTTTTAATTTTGTTCTTTGTTTTCTCTCATTGGTAAAGGCCTTAGCAAAGCACCGGATATGGTGTTGATAACTTATTTTGTGTTATTTCCCAAATTTTTCTGTTTTGTCTCTTATCTGCCATCTTCCTTTTTCTTCTTCTCTTTTCCTCCATATTTTTTTCCTTCTAGCATCTTCCCAGTCCCCTTCATTGCTTTTCTCTGTTACTCTTGCAACCATCCCCTTCTCTTACTTTGACTGGATATGATACAGACTGCATGCAGATAGCCTTTTATATTAGCTTTATTCATGGGTGAAGCATTGAATTTCCTGGATTTTATTTTAAAAATAGGTGACTTTAATGTGTGATAAGATTCTCATGAATAAGAATCCTAATCTTGGATATTTAATAATTTTGTAAAATGCATTGATTGAGAGTTTTGTTTGAGAATAACAATGAGGCTTAATAGGTCTATGTTTTTGCATCCCTGATCTAAGTTCTGTTCAAAACTTGTTAACTCTTTCAAGATAATTTGTGGGCCAACATGGGAGTCCTTGCTGTTTATTCCTGGAAATTGGAATTTACCACATGGTACACCTTTTCAGATGAACTCTCTGAGGCTATTATAGTGTGTGAGCAAAAACAATGGAATAGGAGAATTAGTGTACTGAATATGTATTTATTGAGTATCACACTTATGTCACAGAAATATTGGGAAAGGCATTCCTTGTAGCCTCAAAAATGAAAAGAGCGTAACACTTAAAAACCTCTAGTCACATTGTAAAATGTATAGGCCTATGATATTATACAATTTAAGGAAAACTCTTGATAGTTTAAAAAATATAATTATTGGAGATGAATTACCAGTATTTTGCAGTTATTAAGAATATCTCAAGCATTCATTAATTAACCCTCTGTTCATTTATCTTAGTTTTAAAAATCTTCCCTTTACTAAAAAAGATGGACAGATCAAAAATGCAAGTGAAATATATGTAGCTCATTTGCATATTTCCATTATATACCCATTATTTTTAATAAAACAGTATTTCCTCTCAATTGCCTTCAAAGGTAAAGACCAAATGGCTTAAATTTACCTTAATGCGAACTTCCCCAGTCTTTGGTGGCTCAAGTTGTACTTCTTCAATTGAAAGAGGAGTATTTAGCTCCCAGGCAATGGCTGCCCGGCAGGTGATTGTCTGTAGCCACAGGAACATAAAACAACAGTATTTAGTGACATTTGAATTTTATTTCTAATTATACACATGGCTATTGCTTCTTTGTAAAAATGCAAAGGTCATAAAGAAAAAGGATGGCCACATGTAATTTCAGGCACAGGCTTTGAAACTTGAGCATATTTCCTCTTGGCCTTTCAAAGTAATTTTCATACATTTGAGATCATGTCATATAAGCAATTTGGTATTCTGCTTTTTTGCTAACAGTCACCATTTACTGAACAGTTACCATTTGCTGGTTCATAAGAAGCTTCTCATGACTTCAAAATGTTTTGTAACCATAATTTTAAGAGGCTACTTTACATTTCATCATTTGAATGTGTCCTAATAGCTTACATAGTAACTATGTAGACATGGGATTATTTCCATTGTTTTAACTATTAAAAATATAATATGATGATTACTTTTATAATTTTTACTTGCTTGGTTTCTGTAAGTGAGAATTACTTAAGAAAATTTAGAGACATTATTAGGGCCAAATTGATTCCAAAACTCTTTATGGGAGGTTGAATTATTTGGCATACTCCCTAGAAGTATAACAGAATGTCTGTATCCTGAATTATTCCACCCTCATTAGCATGGAATGTATCATTAAATACAAAATCTACAGGAAGAAAAAACTCACTGTTTCTTTTTATTAGTATTTCTTTCAGTGCTTATGATATGAAATATTTTCTGTTTGTTAGTCATTTGTATTTTCTGTTTTGTGGAACATTTGGTCCCATATTTTATGTCACTGTTGGTATCTTGATGCTTTTCTTATTAATGCTTTTGGGTTCTTTACAAATTAAAGGAGCAACCTGTTGTCTGCCAATGTGTCACGTTTTCCATGTTGATTTTTTTTTTTTTTGGAGAGGTTTTTGCTATAGGGCACATGCGCTCGCCAGAGAGACAGAGAGACAGAAATCACCCTTCAGGGGGGATGGCCATGCCACAATTCCTTCTCCTCTATTCTCCTCTCGGGATCTTGGGCATGCGTGCCCATGCACGTGCCTGGAGTGAGTTTAAGCCACTAGGTCTGGGACTCGAACCGCGGTCACTAAATGTGAATTCAGCGACATAGCCATTATGCCAACTGCTAATCCCCCATGTTGATTTTTGACCTTTAATTTTGTATGAAATTATACATTAAAATGTCCTAAAATTTTGGTTCATAAAAATATCTTTTCCTTTGCTATTTGTTCCATTTCTATACTTCGAAGATTATCGCCATATAGGGACCAGAAGTTAGCATAATGGCTATGTCGCTTGATTCCCATGTAGTCGACCGCGGTTCGAGTCCTGGACCCGTTGGCTTAAACTCACGCCAGGCATGTGTGCATGCATGCCCAAGATCCTGAGAGGAGAATGGAGGAGAAGGGATTGCGGCATGGCCATCCTCCCTGAGGGGTGATTTCTCGCTTTCTGTCTCTCTGTCTCTGTCTGGCGAGCACACGCGCCCTATAGCAAAAACCTCTCAAAAAAAAAAAGTTAAAAAAAGATTATCGCCATATAGAGAGTAAATAAATGTTTCTTATCGTCTGCTTTAGATTTGTATAGTTTGATTTTTGAAAATTTAACTCAAATTCAACTGAAAAATTTTTTTTGGGTATGATGTGAAGTTAAAATCTGAATAAATTGTCCCAGCATGAACTGGTGACTGTTTCTTCCCTTTCTGCCTAAGTTGGTGCCTTTGCTATGCAACAAGTTCATGTATATATATTTTTTCTTTTTTAAGAGAGATTTTTGCTATAGGGTGAGTGCACTCACCTGAAAGACAAAGAGAGACGGAGAAAGAGAAAGTGAGAAATCACCCCCCAGGGACAGCCACGCCTCAATTACTTCTCCTCCTTTCTCCTCTCAGGATTTTGGGCACATATGCACATGGGCCCGGCATGAGTTTCAAGCAGCCAAGTCCAGGTCTCAAACTGTGATTGAGCAAGCGGGAGTCCAGCACCTTAACCACTACACCACCTGCTGGCTCACAAGTTTTTATATTTACAAGTTTTTCTTTGGAAGCTCTTTGTCCCATGTAACTTTCTGTCAGTCATCAATAACTTGAACACTTTAAATTTTTTATGTATCTTAATATCTGGTGATATTAGTTCTCCTTATAATTTTATGTGTGTTCCATTTCAAGGTACAATGACTATATGAGTAATTATAAAGTATACTGAGCTAAGTAAATCTTCTGTGTCTTCAAGTAACTCAGGCACCAATAGAGGAAGTGAAACATCCAGCTCTTTTTCTTTTTCTCTTTCTTTCTTTCTTTCTTTCTTTCTTTTTTTTTTTTTTTTTGGTTTAGGGCACCGTGCCTTTACCAGAGAAAGACAGAGAGAGGGAAAGTGAGAAATCACTCCCTAGGAGGGATGGCCACTCCCTTCTCCTCCATTATCCTTTCAGGATTTGGGGTATGTATGCAGATGCACCCGGCTTGAGTTTCAAGTCACTGAAACCTTGGTAGGCCATATGGGAGTCCAGCACCTTAACCACCATGCCACCTATTGGCCTCAGTTATATATGTTTTGTAATACAAAGAAAGGGGATAATGGACATGTTAAAATAGTACAAAAAAGTATTATTTCCTGAGGATAATTCAGTAAAAATAATTTTGCTTTTACCTACCAAGCTTATGTAAAAAATATACTTTATGAAAAACACTTCCTAGTTTCAAAAGCAATACATACTCAACATAAGAAGCTTAGAAATCTCAGACAAATGTAAACAGGGAAAAACCAAAACAGACAGTTCCTAGCTATTACCTCTACCAGCATTTTAAAGGAAGCCCTTTCACTCAATATTCTATGCATGTTGTTCTGATCACACTGGGCAGGCTCTTTTACAGCCTGGTCTTCTATGTAGCATTACAAATAGTATGCAGATAATTTTTCATGATGACTCAAGTTCATTGACTAATATACCATAATTCATTTAAAACTTTTGTTTAGTATTTGACATATATGGCTTCAGTGTTATACTCTTACAAAGAAGGCTGAAGTTAACCTCTATAGAAACATATGTAGCTATTTCATATGAATAAACTTTGAGGGGTAACAATAGGCACATTTTTCAAGTTTTTGATACAGTATCATGAAGTTACCACCCAAGAAATTTTAAGCAATTTCTCCTCCCAGTAATGGTACATGAGTTTTCCACAGCTGGGGAACGCGGAGTCTTGTCATTAAAAATCCTTGATAATGTGACTAGAGAAAAATATCTTAATTTTCGTTCAGTGTGCACTTGCTTGATAGCTAATGAGATGATATCGATTGATCTTAAAGGTAGTGCACTTACTTTGCCTGAAGTGTCCATGGTGAGTTTTCTGGCTTCCTTTGTGTCTTATGGATGTACCTGAGAGGACTTGGCTTCTTTGACTCTGCAGCTTGGCAAACGAGACTGAGTATTTATAGTGTTTACATACTGAAAGTAATTAAAACTAATTGCAACATCACACACCAATATGAGGAAAAGCAAAGCAGAGAAGTGGTTGACAACTACGTGGAAGTAAAGGGCAGAAAGGAGTGAGAAAGAATGGTGAAGTGCGGATAAGGAGGAATTGAGAACGAGGCATTTGAATGAGGCGAGAAGCAGTTTGAAGAGTAGGCAATGGGTGGAAAGGCATAGGATTGAGTACAGAGAAGTAAATGAAGTGTTTAAGAGGAACTAAGAGAAAGGTCTTAATTAACTAACAGTAAGAATTTCTGGAGTATCAGTTACATGAAAGGATTACTATAATAGATCAGGTATAAGACTGGGTCTCCAGAGGTCAAAAAAAATGGAAAAGCACAAATCATGATAGAAACTACTATAAAAGAGGAGACAAATAAGTGTGAAAGGTGATAAAAACTAAAGGCAAGGGGACCAGCAGGTGGCATGGTGGTTAAAGCACTGGAGACTCCCACATGGCCGACCATGGTTTGAGTCCTGGACTTGGTCGCTTACTCTCTCACTTTTCCTTTCTCTCTCTCTGTGTGTCTCTCTCTGGTCAAACTAAAATAAATGAGTGAATAAATAAAATAAAATAAAATAATTTATAAAAAAGAAGCCTTACTTCCCTGTGTTCTATTAAAAAACAAACAAAAAACTAAAGGTGATGTGAGGACATTGTCAATGGTTAGAGTTTCATTCAGATGAGAATTTAGCTACGTTTTGGAGAGATATAGACTTTACATAAAATAAAGGAATGGATAGCGTGTTCAAAATAGAGGGTTAAACTCAGTCAAGGTCAGGTGAAATGGAAAACGTACTTAATGATAATGGTGATGATGATACTGATGAGACAGAGGGGGAGGGTTAGGATGTTAACCTTTTGTTACTTGTTTGATACAGTGTTTCTCAACATCAGAATGCGTAATCTTCTCTCAGAGGAGGTTGTTAAAAGATTGTCATTCTGGGCCCTCCTCCTGAGATTCTGCTTCTGCTGAAGGACACTAAAGTGAATGCTAGATCTGAAAACATCAAGGGTGTCATTTGTTAACTCGTGGAGTGAGGGAGTGAGTTCTTGAGCTGCTCACGGTGTCTGCCCCTGGTTCACACCCCCAGGCACCATTGTCCAGGGTCCTCCAGAGCCTCCCTGAAGAGGCTAGTGGAGCAGCTTCTCTGCTGAGGACCTGGTGCCTGACAGCTCACAGCCGTGAAAAGGCGAGGGTCCTCCTGCTAAGCGGAGTGGTGTGACAGTAATTTGTGACGCAGTTCAGTAATCACAAGTCTGGGTTTGGAGCTTTTCTGGCAGCAGAGCTCTCTTTACCCTCTACGTAGTTGTTTGTAAGTTTCCTTGGAAGGGTTTTATATCTGCTAGCAATGCAGAAATTCAGAGTCCTAGCCCCTTACCCTGCTTCTGTCGTAGCACGCTATCTGGGGACTTGCACACCCCCCTAGAAAATTTTGAGGCTTTTGCCTTATGACTTGGACCAGAACCTGGGCCAGGGTGGAGATATCTGGTTCATTTGCTTTGAAACTTGGTCAAGAGAATGCTCTTAGGAGGCATTCCAGTCGCTTATGTTTTTTATAGGATGTATACATTATGTGCAAGAGGGTGTAAGAAGAGACGTATTGGATGGCGCTGAAGGGGCTAAGATGTGTTCATTCCTCTCCGTCCTGAAATAACCTTATTCTGTAGCCTCCTGGTCCCCATACTTTCCTCACCCATGTGGACTCTGGCAACTACACATTGGTCTTGTTGAACCTTGGGTGATGTAACAGTTGATCACCTGAAAAAACTGCCTGACTTGAAATGAAGGAACACTCTGACCTGAACTGCCCTGCTCAGAAGGGCCAGTCTGGGCTTGCATCTCTTAGAGTATCTTGCAAAAGGTTGCAACAATAGCCACTTTTTCTTTTTGCCCCTGCCAACTTTCTTAATTTCAGAGCTTTAGTGGGCATGCAGTCTGAGTCCTGGGGATGACAGACGATAGTGGGCCAGTGAATTGCTTTACTGCAGAGTCTGTCTTCCACTTTGAGGCCGGTGGGACCCTTATTGCTTCCTAACCCACTCCATTCTGCCAATTCTGTCTTTGAGGGATGTCAGCAAAATACTGCTCATCGGGACTCCTATTCCCAACATGGATGAATTTAGGGAGAAGAGGGAAGTTGTTGACTGAATGAAACGATAAAACGAACCAACAGCAAAACAGAGAGGAAAGATGATCATTTGAGTTTCTGGGAGCAGAAACTAATCAATTTAACTTCAGGAAGACTTTCCCTCTCTTACGGAAACCATTGTGGCACAGTAGTTAAGAGCACTGATACTGGGACCAGCAGACCAGGGCTCAAATCTTCATTTTATCTCTTACATGCTGTGGCATAAAGCAAGAAATCTAACCTTTCTGCACCTCAGTTTCTCCATCAATGAGATGAGTATGATTATGGCAGTACCAACCTTACAGGTTTGTTATGAGCATTAAGAGAGGTACCGTTTGAGGAATGTGTAGGGCCTAGCCCCTAGCACAGCCTGTCTTTAATGTTAACCATTGTTATTATGATGTCTCTCAGAACATTGGTTTTATTTTCTCACCCACTGACTTGTTTTAGCCATGTAGCAGAAAATATGGCATTAAAAATGCTTGATTCTTGAATCTAATAACTACAACAAAATAATTCTGATCTCTCTCTTTCATCTTAAGTTCCAAAAATCTGAAGAAGGTTCTCTGCTCAGCATGGGTCAGTTTCTTCCTCCTGGGCCATTGAAATCCAGACAAATTTGTGGTTTCAGAGAATTTGGTAGCCATTACTGTCATGTGGAAGCCCTTGAACAGCTGAAGGAAGTGGAAAAAGTCATAGAGCAGACTGGTTCCATTATAAATTCTTTTCTTTAAATTATAAATTCTTGATCACAGATCAAGTGAAGCCTAACCATTACTTGGCAATCCAATGACATTTTCCTAGTCAACTTGCTGACCAGGTTCCTGAAATAACCTAACCTTCCATACTGTGTCAAACCTCTGGGCATTGTCTCCTTGTGTTCCTTCATCCACTTTCCCTCAGGAGATGAGCTTCATGTGTGAAGTAAATTTACTCAGTGAGTCCAGGCAAAACTTTTCCCTCATCACCGATCCATTAACAAGCTCTGCTAGCTTGGCCTCCAAAGTCTATGGCACATCTGTTAGTGTTTATTTAATGTCCAAATCCCTCCTCTAGAACTCAGTTTCTATGAGAGTAGGAACCTTGAATTTCCTGTTTTTTTGTTTGTTTGTTTGTTTGTTTTCTCTCTACCTTAAGTGCTTGATTCTTAGTAGGAAGTCTAATTTTTACTTATTTATTTATTTATTTATTTGCTATAGGGTGCTTGCTGGAGAGGGAGGGAGAGAGGGAGAGAAGGAAAGTGAGAAATCACCCTCTCCTAGAGGGATGGCCACAGTGCAATCTCTTCCACTTTCTTGTCTGGAAATTTTGAGCACATACACACATGTGCCCCATGTAATTTTCAAGCCTGCCCAGACTGAGACTTGAACCACGTAGTCAGCCATGTGGGATCTGGCACCTTAATCTCCATGCCACCTGCTGATCCCAATAAACACATTTTTTTAAATGAATCAAAATAGAAGTTGGCCAACAAGACTTCCCTGAGATACCTATTCCTAGTGAGGCATCTGCATCCACACTCATCCTATCCTCCTCTTCCATTCATCACCTGCTCCTGCTCAGAAAATTTTCCATTACTTCCCTTCTCATTGTGACCTATCAGCTTTTTAACATTGATTTCTCGTCCATTAAAAAGGAAAATGTAGAAATAAAACTTCCATTGTCCTACATCTCTTTCTAACTACCATTGGGAGAGTCAAGATAGGTGTTTATGTGGCTCTCTGAATGAGGGTTAAGAGTCCAAGCCAAATACTTAATTTGGGTGTCTATTAATTAGCTTTGAGAAATTGTAATTGTCCTAAAGTAATTGGAGTTTGCAATTTGACAGACTTGTAAGTTGACTTTTGAATTGAGAAGATTTGAACTTGACTATAACTTGTGTCATTAGGCATCAATGAGTGTGGCTTCCAAGGAGTTTCTATAGTGATCCAGGAGGTGTCTCATAGTGACCAAAGCCAGCAATAAGTCAGGGCCATATTATTTGGGAAAAGACAGTTTAAGAAAAGATCCTTGGGGCTCTTCTGGACTAATTGTCTCTTCTTTTCATTGTGCCCTATCAGCTTTTTAACATATTAATTTCTCATCCATTAAGAAATAAATAAAGAAGGAAAAATGGCCATTTTTTAATAGTCGTCCTGACAGTGTACAATCACTGATTGCTGCTTCTTGAAACTCTTCCTTTGACTTTTTGGCTCACCAAGTTCCTGGTTTTCCTGGATAATATTTGGGTGTTTCTTTTCAGACTTCTTTAACAGATCTCATCTTTTTAAATTCACTTTTTTTTTTTAATTGGTGGAGATCACACACACTTACTGCAAAGAGACAGAG